GGGAGGATGAAGATGATGGAGGAGGATGAGGATGATGAAGTAGGAGGAGGGGGGGTGAGGTGGGATGGTGGTGGGACCCCATGGGGTGTGGTAGGACGTGGTGGAACCCCATAGGATGTGGTAGAACATGGTGGATGGTTGACGTCCAACCATGGAGACCTCTCCAAGATGGCGGCGGGGGCGGGATTTGGGGGGGGGGTGAGGATGAAGATGATGATGATGATGGAGGAGGAGGATGAAGTAAGAAGAGCTGGGGGGGGAGGTGGTGGGTGGTTGACGTTCAACGGTGGAGGATCTTCAAGATGGCGGGGGGGGGATGATGATGGAGAAGATGATGATGATGAAGATGATGGAGGAGGAGGAGGATGAAGATGATGATGAAGATGAAGATGATGATGATGGAAGAGAAGGATGAAGATGATGATGATCATCATGACGATGAAGACAATGAAGAACATGATGATGATGATGAAGATGATGATGGAGGAGGAGGATGAAGATGATGATAAAGATGATGATGATGAAGAAGATCATGATGGAGCAGGAGGATGAAGACGATGATGAAGATGAAGATGATGAAGAACGTGATGATGAAGAAGATGATGATGAAGATGATGGAGGAGGAGGATGAAGATGATGATGATGGAGATGATGAAGAACATAATGAAGATGAAGAAGAAGATGATGATGATGATGGAGAAGGATGAAGATGATCAAGATGACAATGATGATGAGGATGATGAAGAAGATGATGATGATGAAAGACGATGATGAAGAGGAAGAAGATGAAGATGATGATGAAGAAGACAATGAAAAAGATGATGATGATGATGATGGAGGAGGAGGATGAAGACGATGATCATGAAGATGATGATGAAGACGATGAAGAACAAGATGATGAAGAACATGATAATGATGAAGAAGATGATGATGATGATGGAGGAGGAGGATGAAGACGATGATGATCATCATGAAGATGATGATGAAGATGATGAAAATGATGATGAAGATGATAGAGGAGGAGGATGAAGACGATGAAGATGATGATGAAGAAGAAGATGATGATGAAGACAACGTTGATGATGATGATGAAAATGATGATGAAGATGAGGACTAAGATGATGATCATGAAGATGATGATCATGAAGATGATGAAGAAGAGGATGAAGAAGATGATGATGAAGATGATGAAGACGATGATGAAGATGATGATGATGATGAAGAACATGATGATGATGAAGATGATGATGGAGGAGGAGGATGAAGACGATGATGACGAACGTGATGATGATGAAGAACATGATGATGATGGAAAAGGAGGATGATGATGACGATGATGATGATGATGGAGAACTTGATGATGAAGATGATGGAGGAGGAGGATGAAGATGATGAAGAAGAAGATGAAGATGATGAAAATGTTGAAGATGATGAGGATGAAGAAGATTAAGATGATGCTGAAGACGATGAAGAACATGATGATGGAGGAGGAGGATGAAGATGATGATGACGAGGATGAAGACGAAGAAGATGATGAAGAAGATGATGATGAAGATGATGATGATGAAGAACATGACGATGAAGATGATGATGGAGGAGGATGAAGACGACGATGATGATGATGAAGAACATGATGATGATGAAGATGAAGATGATGAAGATGATGATGCTGAAGATGATGAAGAACATGATGATGATGAAGATGAAGATGATGATGATGAAGATGAAGATGATGGAGAAAGACCATGAAGACGATGATGATGATGATGATGATGATGATGGAGAAGAAGAAGATGAGGATGAAGATGATGGAGGAGGAGGATGAAGATGAAGATGATGAAGATGAAGATGAGGATGAAGATGATGATGATGATGATGATGATGATGAAATGATGATGATGGAAGAGAAGGATGAAGATGATGATGATCATCATGACGATGAAGACAATGAAGAACATGATGATGATGATGAAGATGATGATGGAGGAGGAGGATGAAGATGATGATAAAGATGATGATGATGAAGAAGATCATGATGGAGCAGGAGGATGAAGACGATGATGAAGATGAAGATGATGAAGAACGTGATGATGAAGAAGATGATGATGAAGATGATGGAGGAGGAGGATGAAGATGATGATGATGGAGATGATGAAGAACATAATGAAGATGAAGAAGAAGATGATGATGATGATGGAGAAGGATGAAGATGATCAAGATGACAATGATGATGAGGATGATGAAGAAGATGATGATGATGAAAGACGATGATGAAGAGGAAGAAGATGAAGATGATGATGAAGAAGACAATGAAAAAGATGATGATGATGATGATGGAGGAGGAGGATGAAGTAAGAAGAGCTGGGGTGGGAGGTGGTGGGTGGTTGACGTTCAACGGTGGAGGATCTTCAAGATGGCGGGGGGGGGATGATGATGGAGAAGATGATGATGATGAAGATGATGGAGGAGGAGGAGGATGAAGATGATGATGAAGATGAAGATGATGATGATGGAAGAGAAGGATGAAGATGATGATGATCATCATGACGATGAAGACAATGAAGAACATGATGATGATGATGAAGATGATGATGGAGGAGGAGGATGAAGATGATGATAAAGATGATGATGATGAAGAAGATCATGATGGAGCAGGAGGATGAAGACGATGATGAAGATGAAGATGATGAAGAACGTGATGATGAAGAAGATGATGATGAAGATGATGGAGGAGGAGGATGAAGATGATGATGATGGAGATGATGAAGAACATAATGAAGATGAAGAAGAAGATGATGATGATGATGGAGAAGGATGAAGATGATCAAGATGACAATGATGATGAGGATGATGAAGAAGATGATGATGATGAAAGACGATGATGAAGAGGAAGAAGATGAAGATGATGATGAAGAAGACAATGAAAAAGATGATGATGATGATGATGGAGGAGGAGGATGAAGTAAGAAGAGCTGGGGTGGGAGGTGGTGGGTGGTTGACGTTCAACGGTGGAGGATCTTCAAGATGGCGGGGGGGGGATGATGATGGAGAAGATGATGATGATGAAGATGATGGAGGAGGAGGAGGATGAAGATGATGATGAAGATGAAGATGATGATGATGGAAGAGAAGGATGAAGATGATGATGATCATCATGACGATGAAGACAATGAAGAACATGATGATGATGATGAAGATGATGATGGAGGAGGAGGATGAAGATGATGATAAAGATGATGATGATGAAGAAGATCATGATGGAGCAGGAGGATGAAGACGATGATGAAGATGAAGATGATGAAGAACGTGATGATGAAGAAGATGATGATGAAGATGATGGAGGAGGAGGATGAAGATGATGATGATGGAGATGATGAAGAACATAATGAAGATGAAGAAGAAGATGATGATGATGATGGAGAAGGATGAAGATGATCAAGATGACAATGATGATGAGGATGATGAAGAAGATGATGATGATGAAAGACGATGATGAAGAGGAAGAAGATGAAGATGATGATGAAGAAGACAATGAAAAAGATGATGATGATGATGATGGAGGAGGAGGATGAAGTAAGAAGAGCTGGGGTGGGAGGTGGTGGGTGGTTGACGTTCAACGGTGGAGGATCTTCAAGATGGCGGGGGGGGGATGATGATGGAGAAGATGATGATGATGAAGATGATGGAGGAGGAGGAGGATGAAGATGATGATGAAGATGAAGATGATGATGATGGAAGAGAAGGATGAAGATGATGATGATCATCATGACGATGAAGACAATGAAGAACATGATGATGATGATGAAGATGATGATGGAGGAGGAGGATGAAGATGATGATAAAGATGATGATGATGAAGAAGATCATGATGGAGCAGGAGGATGAAGACGATGATGAAGATGAAGATGATGAAGAACGTGATGATGAAGAAGATGATGATGAAGATGATGGAGGAGGAGGATGAAGATGATGATGATGGAGATGATGAAGAACATAATGAAGATGAAGAAGAAGATGATGATGATGATGGAGAAGGATGAAGATGATCAAGATGACAATGATGATGAGGATGATGAAGAAGATGATGATGA